GTCGAGCTCCCTCTGGTTATTGGCGGCGTGGTTCATCCGGGCGAGCCTCTCGTCACCAGCTTCATCCATTGGGGAGCGACGAAGCCCACAGTCGAGTGCGGGGTGGCGACGTTGTGGCGGCGAAGGCGTCCTGCTGCGATGGCGTTTCTGCAGCAGTGACGTTTCTGAAAGGGTTCAAACTCCATCTTCTTTTTTCTCTCTTTCTGCCTCGATCCATCAAACCCAAGAGCAGTCGGAACCGCCACCGGACGCGATCTCACTCCGCCTCCGGACGCGATCTCACTCCGCCACCGGACGCGATCTCGCTCCGCTTCCTCATTCTCGTCTCTCCCTGTTAATTTTTTTTTTACTTGGACTGTGTATGAATCTGTGTATGAATGATTGTTTTGCTGGATTAGAATTTTAATTGGCCTTTTCAAAGTTTTGCTACTGGTTCATGAGAGGCGGTTCGGTTCTTGAGAGGCTCCTTGCGGTTCTTGAGGGCGTGCCTTCTTACGGTTCCCGTCGAGGGCAGGGAGGGGGATCCAGCGGTTCTTTGAGGTTGGGATTTGGGTGTTTGAGGGTTTGGGTTTGAGGGTGAAGTGCACGGGCACGACCATCCAAGGAAGAAGGGAAAAGTGCTACTTTGCTTTCTGACCGGAGAACTGAACAGCGTGGTGATTAGGAAGGAAAGCTTGAAGGTATTTCTGACCGGAGAACTGAACAGCATGGTGATTAGAACTGAACAGCGTGGTAATTAGGAAGGAAAGCTTGAAGGTAGCAGTGGTCAACAAAGAATGTTAAGGAGATGAGGATGGATGTTTACCAGTTTGGGGATCGTTCCATGTGAATCAGAATTGTTGAAAAAAAAATACGTTACTGCCTCGGTTAAGTAAAAAACCGAGGCATAATCCCATTTTTATTGAACCGGTTTAAAACCGAGGCATAAAACGTACCCCTTTTTACCTCGTCTGAATATGCCTCGGTTATAGAACCGGTGCCTATAAACCAAAGCAACCGGTGCCATTTCCTGTTTGTGTACTAGTGTGACGTGAGTGTTTGCATTTTTTGTAAGTAAATGCAGTTCAAAGTTTTTTATGTTTTTTTGTGAGGAAAATCATTGTAATGGTAAGTTAGTTAATTTAGATTTGATTCATAGAAAACAATATAAATTGTTTAATATTTTACCTTCATGTATTTGTTTAGATTTTTATTTGTATATGTATTTAGTTTGTATAAAAGTGTAATTTTTGATATAGATGTATGGTTAGTCTCTATGTTTTGTATTCTTTTATTTTATTTTATTTTTAATAATTTTTTATATAATAACAAATGATTAATGAAGTTTGAAATATATGTTTTGTATTCTTTTATTTTATTTTATTTTATTTTTAACAATTTTTTATATAATCACAAATAATTAATGAATTTTGAAGTGTAAACATACACTAGTACAATTAAGGTATACCGCCTCGGTTATTTTCACTTAAAGACACCGGTTTTACAACCGGTGCATATTCAGACGAGGTAAAAAAAATGGATTTTTTGGCTCGGTCCTGAACCGAATCAAAAGGATTCAGATTCTGACTCGGTTCACAAACAACCGAGGCAGTAGAGTTTTTTAATTTTTTTATTTTCAACCGAGATCAGTGTTCTTATGTTTGTTTATTTTCTTTTTGTGGTTAAATTTCTTTCTCTTGTCTGCAATGTTTTTCATATCCATGGTCTTTGAACAAAATTTGTCAAACTCAGAAGAAGGGGGAATAGAAAGCAGAGAGAGTAGACGGGAGATCCAAACCAAAATCAGATATCCAAACCAAAAACAAAAAACCAGAGATCCATTGAGCCATCCACCTGCAAATAAACAGAACCAAAAACCAAAAATCAAAAACCAAAAAACGCAGAACAGGGTTTCCGCCATCGCAGCCGCCGTCGCGGGCTGTCTCGCACACCGTCGCGAGCTCCCTCGCCGCGCCGTCGCGTTCTCTCTCGCCTCCCCGCGTCGTCAGAGCTTTCTCGCCTCGTCGCACCGTCGCGAGTCGTCTCGCCTCGCCGCATCGTCTCGCCTCGTCGCACCGTCTCGCCTCGCCGCACAGTCGCGAGATCTGTCCTCGTCGCACCGTCGCGAGATCTGTCCTCGCCGCACCGTCGCCACACCGTCGCAGCACCGTCTCGTCTCGCCTCGTCTCGCCTCGTCTCGTCAAATCTCATCTCGGTTCGCCTCGCCGCACCGTCGCTGCACCGTCCTGGGGATGCAGAGGGAGAAGCCATCTGGTCTAGTGAGAGAATGATGGAGTTGAGGGAGAGGGGACTTGAGAATGGGAGGTTGCAGGAGAGGAGGGAGGGGTTGCTGGAGAGGAGGGAGGGGATGAGGGAAAGTGAAAGTGAAAGTGAAACGTGAAATGGGAAATGGGAAATCAAACATCATATCTAGGGTAATTTTTTTGGCACCGGTTCACTCTCCACCGAGGCATATAGTCCTAAAAAAAATGAAATAGTTATATGCCTCGGTTTCCGCCTAAACCGAGGCATAAACATGGATTTACACCGGTTCTTACTGAACCGAAACCATAGGCTCACTGCAGTCAGACGTGTCAGGCAACTTTCAGGCCTCGGTTTTGCTATGAACCGAGGTAATATTACTTATATGTTTCGGGTTCCCTTGAACCGAAACGTATAAGTTTACCTAAACTACAAAAATGCCACTGCGTTTTGATATACTTCGGTTTTTCCTAAACCGATGCCTATACCGCGAGTTAAAAAGCAATTTTTGTACTAGTGATAGCTGAAATATCAAGATTCATATAGTTTGACTTGGTTTAGAGTTCTGATTCATCTTCCCTTCCTTTGAAATCAAATACAAATAAGGAAATAAATAATTAGAAGCCACCAAACCAACTAAAAAGCCAAATAAAAATATTAGATCAAGTAAAAACCTTAGAGAATAATCACATACCAGATAGCTATCATTTTTAAAACCTTTCAAATGGATAAGTTCAGTTCAATTAATCACATTGGGAAGATTATCCGATACACCAACAACTACACAATAATTATATGAAAAAACTTTCATCCATCTACATCTCTATAAAAGCATAAATATAGTTTTTATCTAAAAAAATTTGATTGTTTTTAAAATGGTTCCTGTTTATATTTGGTTTCTTAAAAAAAATAATTTGAATTTAGTCTTTGATCGGGAGTTAAAAAGGTATAATTTTTTTTTATTAAACCTGTTAAAAAATATAACTAAAATTTAAATAGAGACTTAAATAACAATGTTTCATTTTTAAGTTTAAAAGTCATTATTGGAAAGAAAAAAAAAAGGCCTTGTTGAAATTTATAATATGAAATCAGATTATTATCATAAGATGATCTTACCCTGGACGGCAGTGAAAGTCAATGCATAGCATATCCAAAGTTCAAACAATACAAAATGATAAAGTGAAGAAATTTGCAAGAAGTAACACATATATTTCATTTACACATGGTTAATGCCTCGTACTATTGTTTTCTACTCTTAAGATAAAATTTAGTGTCATCTGATTTTGGTACATCAATTCTAGAAAAGTCTAGGTTCCAACTTTTGGGGGTTTTTGAACCAAATGAAACAAAAATAGAGTTCTAATTGAAGAGCATTTTAATATCTAGAACCTTGAAGAATTTTCTAAACTTAATCTCTAAATATTACGGAACACAAGTACTGCATGCGTGCTGTCAATGGAAACAAAATCTAGAGACGTAATCTTCGTACATATATACTTTCATAATCACCACGTATTCAGATATAAATTAATAATGAAAACACGTGTTAAAATATAAGTGTACAAAATTAGGATAGCATATCATTCTTCTTTACGTTACTTTCTTTCTGTCTTTCTTTTTCTTTTGGCAAATTGATAAGCACTGTTACTCAACAAAATTTAAAAAGTTTTCAATAATATTATAATAAATGAGAGAATGAAAAATTGATGAGTAAGAATCTTTCCCATGTATTTAAAAACGTTGATTAATGTTAAACACCATCATATATTTAATCTTGAAGCATATAATTTTACTTATACAATATTCTTGAGAATCCAGTATGAGTAATATCCCACATTGATTACCATAAAGCTTAATTATTTATATAAAATTTTCACTTATGTATATTAATTAGTATTGTATCTCATCCGATAATCCCTCAAATTACTTGTCAAACATAAACTTCAATTTTAATTTATTTCATGTCGTAAGAGAAAATTAGGTCGTTTAAGTAGCATATTAATCATCCCTGGATTCAACAATAAGAAATTGCATGCATGTTGAGCTAGCGTGTCTAAATAATGAAACGTATACGTATTTTTCTCAAATACACGTATTTTATTAATGTTGATGACTTCCGACGCTTATAAATACCTCATTCTCTGCATTGCTTATTAGACATCAAATTAAAGAAAGCACAGTACACAATGTCAACTTCTCTGCGTGAAAACTCTTCAATCTGGTTTTTCCTTCCAATCGCTACCTTAATCATCTTCTTTTTACGGACTGTCATCAAATGCAGTCATAATTTCAATTCTGCAATGGCCAGAAAAACCTTACCACCATCTCCTCCAAAGCTTCCAATAATAGGAAATCTCCACCAACTTGGCACTCTCACTCACCGCACTCTCCATTCCTTTGCTCAAACCTATGGCCCTTTAATGTTACTTCACTTTGGAAAGGTGCCAGTTCTTGTTGTCTCAACGGCCGAGGCAGCTCGTGAGGTTATGAAAACCCATGACCTTGTTTTCTCCAATAGACCACATCGTAAGATGTTTGATATCTTCTTGTACGATTCCAAAGATGTGGCATCTGCTCCATATGGCAACTACTGGAGGCAGATAAGGAGTATTTGTGTCTTGCATCTTCTCAGTGCAAAAAAGGTTCAATCCTTCGGTGCAGTGAGAGAAGAGGAAATCTCCATAATGATGGATAAGATTAAGCAGTGTTGTTGTTCTGTGACGCCTGTGAATTTAACTGATTTATTTTCTACCGTCACAAATGACATAGTGTGCAGAGCTGCTATCGGAAGGAGATACAGCAGAGGAGAAGGGAGTAAGTTTTGGGAGCCAATGAATGAGATGATGAAACTGTTGGGTGCTCCAGTTATAGGGGATTGTATACCTTGGCTTGATTGGGTAGGAAGAGTTAATGGAATGTATGGTAGGGCAAAGAGATTGGCTAAACAGCTTGATGAATTTTTTGATGAAGTTGTTGATGAGCATGTAAGTAGAAGAGGGCATGATGTGCATGGTGATGATGACGACGAACATAATGATTTGGTGGACATTTTGCTGAGGATCCAAAAGACAAACGCCTTGGATTTCCAGATTGATAAAACAGTCATAAAGGCTATAATCCTGGTACGTAAGATTCATACAATGTGATATCTATCTCATAAAATCTTTACTTTTCTTAAACATCATTTAGTTCAATCCTTAATATCAAAGATGATCTGAGAAAAGACTAGAACTAAGAGAGATTTCACAAATCAAATAAGGACTAAAGCAAAGGATTGGTGAAAGTCTTAAGATAAGCTGTGGGATTACCTATCTTAAAAATCAATCTAGAGGTTTATTCATTAATTTTGTATTTCCAACATTCATAAAATATTAGAAATAACCTCTTTAATTGATATACTGATTAATTCATTTTGCTGAATATCTCCTGCATGAAATTTGAAGGTAGACAATGAAATTGACTGTTAGTATTTTGAAGGTTGTGAAAGGAGTAGTTGATGTG